TATGCTTACTCTTTCTATTAGTTACTGAACTGAAATCAGTGTTGTTTTCAGTGTTTCAGTTATGACATCAGATGATGAGTAACTGAATCTGAATTAAAGTATTGGTGGCTTTATCAATTTAGCAGTTGAAAGTTATTGATGAAAAAGCAGTAAAAATTCACATTATCATACCCTGAAAGCACTGTAGTCATAACCCTGGAAACTATCGGTCAAATTCATCAAGAGGACTTATTTCCTGAGTGCATCTCCATGTGATACCACTGTCATCAATCTCCTAACCAGTAAGTCTATAACCTTGCCACCAGGCATGTGCAGAACCATCTGTAAGTTGACACTGCTTCATGGTTAAGAAGCTGCTGGTTAATTGTTCAAGAGAGATAACTGGCAGCTCTAAGAAAGGGATCCTCAGTGTGGCTGTAGGGATCTCCACCGTGCAAGTGCAGCCCCAGACTCTGGCTGAGCTCAAGGTGCAGATCAGCTGGATGTAGTTTTCACCCCAGCCCAGGAGCCAGGTGCATAAATGCCAGTGTGCATACACGATAGTGTACTGTGGGTAGCAGCCCAAAAGATTCAGCTTCAAATCTTTACTTGGACCTTATTCAAAGTAGGAGCTCAGACTTGCATTTTTGACATAAGGCAGGAGTGTCCTGGCTGCCAAGCTGCTCTGCCTCTTAGGAAGGCAAAGTGTCCTTAAATACTGAAAGATGTACAATCAAGTGTTTCAGGCAAAAAGGAGTGGGTTAACCCAGAGAGGTTAGCTGTTTTGCTTGCACACAAACTTTTTCCTGTGAAATCAAGTTTTGTATAGCCTCTGAGGATCTCATAGAGCAGGTCTCTGGCCTCCCCTCACCCCCTGAAGCGCGTGGACATTCCATGTGTCCGCATGGAATTATGCACCAGTGTGACCTGGCACTAGTAGTAGCGGGCTTAGATGTCTGGTTATCAGGTTGCAGGAATAACCAAGAGTGTCTCAGAGCTAGGCACTGTTGAAGAAACATGCAGTATCCTCTGCTTGTGGCTGTGCAGTGCTGGGGATCCTGCCAGGGGTCAGGCTTAGTCCATATTTGACTTAGTCAGCAGTGTGGAGCTTCAAGGGCTCTGCTGTGCTGCTCACAGACATTCTGCCTGGGAAGCTCAGTCATTGAAAGCAGTATTGTCCAGTGTAATATTTTCCTCTTCCTGCTGATAATTAGTATTAAAAATAGCAGTAATATATCATGCCATTATAAAGAAATTAAGATACTGCCAAACAAATTCTATGCTTACCACATTCATTTAATCTTTGAGTTGCTCTTGGATGAACAAGTCTCTGGTCTCTTAGCATAACTACTTTTAAGGGTGGCAGGTTCAGATACCCATTTATGCCATGAGCAATTTGATGTGATTATTCCCTATATGTGGTCTTTTCTGGCACATCTCACAGTACTTCCTTTTCCCCAGTCTCCTAAACACTTTTGTCCATCTCTCATACCCGTTGAGAGAAAATCTTGCATAAGCCTTGGGTCAATGTCCTGAAAAACAGATGCTGGTGACTAATTTCTTATCCCAGAGATGAACAGTGTTATTTTCAGGAGGTGGTGGCAGCTCCTACAATACTGATAGGTCTTTTTTAAACCCAAATTTGTCCTTTTCTCATCCTGCAGTTCTTCAGTAACTCTGACATTGTTTTCTTACTGTGCAGGTGTTTTGTTTTTGTTTAGCAAAGTGTCAGGAGCTGTCAGCACATGATTCATTGATATAATTTTGTGATTATATTATCTGTGAAGGGAATTATAAAGAACCATGAAAATTGATATGAGTGCATAGTGAATGGAAATGCAGAAGCACCAGAAAGAACAACAGAAAACTGTCATGTATTGTTGGCACCAATGTCAGCAGGTCTTCAGGATCTCAATCTATCTATGTACAGCTTCTCAGGATACCCAGATCAGAAACCAAGAGACACTAAGTCTTTAGACTTGGTGGAAAAGGCATTTGAATTGCATTCCCTTCTTAAAGGAGTACTGGAAAGCACATCCAAAACCAGCATGTCATCACTAACCTAAGAAGACCCTAGAAGACATGATGAGGACTCAGTAGCAGGCATCCCTATTCTTCTGTACCACCCAGGACCAACTACCTCAGTACTGGTTTATTGTTACATGTTTTAGTCTGTATTGAGAATTAACGTGGACTCACTATCCTATAGGTAGTCACACATATAGTTCTAAAATGCCTAAAATGTTCTTTAAGCTATAAGCCCATTGTCAGACACTGCTGTCAGATGTAGCATGTCTGGCAAAAGCAGATTTGTAAGCAAAAAAGTTATTAGTGAATTGCAGTTGTAGGTATCTGGGGGAAATGTAGTAGCGATACCTAATTTTTGTCAATCGGTAAAACCTCGAAAAGTCTGAACTAGCTAAGCATCATGGCATTAACTTTGGCCCTTCATTTTGAACATTTCATGGTAACAGGTCTTCTTCAAGTGCTCCCTCTGGATATGTTCATGGAGCATTTAATGGTGTATTTATTGCCATTGTACATCCAGGCTGATGAGTCTTTCAGGTAATTTGTTCAAATTCTCAAATTTTTTATTAATACCACTATGTTGTATCCATTATGTGTTTTCTTGTGATTGCACTTTCAGCTTACCTGTACAAACATCAAGAAAAGGAGCATTAGTGTTTCTTGTGAGAAACTGTTTTGAATCTTTTCTGTTGAAGCAGGCACAGTGCTAAGGTCTTAGATTACTATGAAATACCCTAGCATTCTGTAAAATTCACTTAATTTGTTCCAAAATACAGAATGAAAATTATATGTTGCTTTTGTTTAGCAGTTTAAACTGTTTTTTGCATTTTCCCTCAGATGAAAATGCTCTTTATGCAGTGCCTGTCATAAAAAATATGTTTTATTTTCTACTGGAAAGTCTTAGGTTCCCATCTCCAGCCCAACATCTTTTCAAGACGCTTAACACTTGTGCAATAAGACTTGATATTTCTAAGGTCCTTAGCTAGACTTTTGGAGTTGCAAATGCCTCTGAGAAAATATTTGATAAATATATTGGATAAATTTGATAAAATATGAGTCCTATTCCTTGATATCATAAACTGTAGGTAGTGATGATGCCAAATTCTGTGGCCTGATTTTATCACAGCTGGTAGTCAAAAGGTTATGCACTGTCTCTGCACTTGAGCAAAAAGTAACCAGAGTGATCAATGGTTAGTCACTCCTTCTCTCTCAGTATGATTATAATAGGAGTGCTGTGTTTCAAAGCACTTTTTCAGCACTGTACCCAAGCCTGGAAAATGCAGCTTTGCTACATTATGTGTTATAACCCTCCCTCACATCTATCTGAAATAACACCTGAGTCAGCGATTAATGTGCAGACTCTCCTTTCCTGGTCAGGCATGAAAAATTTAAGCTCTTGTGACCACTGAAGAGAAGGAATAGTCAGTCATGCATGTTAAGATCCCTGGACTGTATAAATCTCTGTTAGAACAGAAGAAAAGCTCACCAACCCTGTCCCAACTGTCCTGCAGAAGAAGGCAGCATCTGGCCAGCGATGTGTTCTGTCACAGCTGGCCAAGCAAACGGCTGTATTAAACACCAGCTGTGAAGTATCATACTGCTAAAAGCTTGCCATGTTTCCTATACCATGTCAGCTCTCTGGCTGCACTTTGGTCCCTTAGTACAGTGGGCTGTGAAGGGAAAAAAAAAACCTTTGAGTATCACATCAAAGCTCCCTCACTAAGAATCTGGGCTTTAAAAGACACAATTTTTGCCCCAGAACTAGCAATAGATCTCACTTTGTTTTAAATATTCTTTTTATGTTAGGTCTGTGACGTCTCTGATGATTGACCCTGAGCTGGACCTGGTAATGGATGGGGAGCTACACTCTGTTCAGTCTGCATGTGGTTTCAGGTCAACTCTGGGCGAGACAAAGAGAATCTTTTCCTAGAAATGTGGGAATGAGGATCCAAAGCTTGGCAAAGAATAGCAAGGGCTGTGCAGATGAACCCAGGGATCCTTGCACCTGTGTCACAAGTTCTAAGTCCTAGTTCTCATACAGCCCCACTGCATAACCATTGCTCATGCTGCTGAGGAAGACCTGTCAGAAATTATGCAGAAAGGTCACAAAGGTAAACTTAGAGATAAAAGTGAAATTGTTGAGACAGGCTCGTTAGCAGCTGAAGCATTCAAGAGGAAAACACAACAAGAAAAGATGTAAAATCTTAAAGGAAAAACAAGAAGTTTGGTCTAGAGTTAGTCTAGGAATCAGAGTCATTGAGTCATCATTGTTATCCGTCCCAATGGAGCTAGTGGGGGACAGCAGCTCTGCAACACCTGGGAGCCCTTCCAGTCTGCTGCAGAGAATGAGCCCTCCCTCCCCACCTGCAAATACTTTGGATTGGTAAGCATACTGATGCCTAATAGCTAGTCATTATGTATGGCTACTTGCAAAGATAATGCCAAACCGAAGGTGTTCGGCTAAACTGCCCCTCAAAACAGACTGTGACAGCCAGGAGCACAAAAACTGTTAAGGTTAAGTAAATGATTGTGTAAAAATGATGGCATACTGCTGTAAATTTTCTAGGTGTCAGGCTATGGAGAAGCAGGAAGACCTAGTGTGTGGTTTAGCCTGGAGGAGAACTGAAGAGGAGGAGACACCATGGCTTCTAGTAGAGTCATACCAAAAGTCCCCTTATGTTAGAAGAGTGTGTTTAGCAGGGTGGGCTCCTGGCATGCTGAAACTGTGCATTTGAAAGATCCCTCCTGTTCTCATAATTTCACTGCATCACTTTCTTCTAAGACCATATTTCTTGTGAATATTAATAATGTGTAGTCAGATACTATTTCTTAGTTTCACCAGCAAAAAACCAGAAAGGTTCTTCTAAGAGACCCCAACATATTTCAGGCAAAATGATGGTAACTGCAGGAGGTCTCTAATGGTTACAGAAAAAAGTAGGTAAACAGTTTGCAAAGTCCTAAGCGAGGGAAATTCGTATTCATAGAGAATGTACCTCATGTCTTCTTCACTCGTCATGCTGATCATTCATCAAGGCTGACAGAATTTCACTGTATTTCCTACAGATGTTTTCTCTTAGGCTTTCCACACTTTCTTCTACATATTTTCTTAATCTTGCTTTCTTTCTGACCCCAAAATTCATTCCAGTGATCATTTACTTACTTGTAGAGTTTAATAGTTTACATCTAGAGGGTCCCCGTAGGAGATTTGCATAGCTATCTTTAAATTGGTTCTTCTTGGTGTTTATCAGAATTAAGCAGTCCCTGAGAGGACAGAAATATAATTCTTGTGTCCTACTATGTTTCTGATACTACTGTCCTACTTCTGTTTCAATAACTACTAATACTGTATGTTGATAGATATTTAAGATGCTTGCACTGATATCCCTGGTTATTATTACATAAAATTCAGCAAGTTATTTCTGTCAATTTACAAGCACAAATCTGTTTTTATCTTTGTTGATCTGAAGTCTTGTTATTCTTGCCGCTTTTTTCAAATCTCCTGTCATTTCAGATGATTGAAGAAGGACTTAAGACACCTTTTACTTTTTTGTGGTGAATGCCAAGGTATTTCTTTACCAATTCTCTTGGTTTCACCTTTAAGTTCTTACATTTAAAAAAAATCTTAATTCTAGGGGTTTGCTCTTTTTAATTCAGATATTCAATTTCATTAATTTATATTGTCCTTAATTTTCATATTTCCCAGACTTGCTGTTCTTATGCATTACCAACACATTGGATACATGAAATTTCTTGAAATTTCAGAAATTGTTGTGGCAGAAATAGTTCTGCCAAGGTTTTGACACAGAATCACAAATTCAAATAAGAAAATAGGAAACTTTTAACTGTGATTTCTTTCCCTATGATTTTAAGCCATGTGACCCATTGTTCTCATATTTCATGAAATATTTCATATTTCATTTTCTTTGAAAATATATGTTTTCCTTGCCCACAAGATCTAACATCTTCATGGACTTTCACCATACTTTTCAATTTTATTTCTGCATACTGGTAGATTTCTACTTCCTTTGCATACACTATTGCTTAATTAGAAAAAGACCTCCACTACACTACCATAATAATATCACTGTATTATTAATATGAGAATAATTTACTTGTTTTTCAGGGATAATGGAGATCTTATTTGACTTTTAAAGTAGTAAAGCTTACCTACAATGCAGATACAGAACTAACAGACCTAGTTATTAGTTTTTCAAATAATGTGAACTTCTAGGTACCCTAAGACTCTGCTAAGGCTTGTATTTAATTGCTTCTTGTCAACAATAGGATTTTTTTTGTGTATATTCACAGAGGTGCATTCCAGATTATTAATAAGTTAATTTATTATGACTTTCCTAGACTCAGAGTTGGACTTGATTATATAATTTAGTGCCAGGAAGGACCTTCTCTTTTTAAACTAAATTCAATAAAAAAAATCTTTTTAAGCAAAAATGATGCAATGAAGGTAGGGAGGAGGCCAGTTATGGCATGTGATAAATCCTTGTGCTTACTAAAAATCAAACCAAAGGTTCATTTTTATTATTACACAAGGCTAGTTGTTTATCTGGCCAAAGTGAATGATAAGCTACTGCATTTGTGTTGTGTTACCTTAAAACCAGGGGATACATTTGTTTTAGTGGAACTCATCAATATGAGTTTATTAAGACACTAGTTATTATCTCAGTTATATGAACATATTTTTCCATTCTTAGAATTCATTGGAAGATACTGTGGGCAAAAGAACGAATTACTAGTAAGTAGCAGTCCTTTAAAATACAGTGAGACATTACCAAGCGAGTACAGGGGCAGAACAGATGTACAGATTTACCTGCAGAGGGAAACAGGCTGTAGCATGCATCCCAGCATCACACAGGGGTTCTGGGTTTTCTGTCCCTTGATGGAATTCACAGCCCCCCAATTCACACTGCTTCTAATCTGAATTTGAATTCAGATTCAAGCAGATAGTTAAATACATGTACTTGTAGTCTGTAAAATCTTTAGACTTCTTTAGATACGCTTTATGACATAAAAAGTATTTTTTAAAGGCAGTTGAAATATCAGGTGCATTTGGATGAATTCCATCAATATCAAAATTAAAGTCTCCACATCAGCTCCAGTCATTAAAATATCTTGCTTTTCAGATTGGTAAATAGTCTCCTAGAAAGTGAAAGGATATTGGCATGACAGTCATGAAACTCAAATCATATTCTTTGTCACTGATTCTTTTTCCATCCCTCTAGCAAGTCTTTGTGCCTCAGCTTCTTTCCCCCTTTCTTACTGAGGCAGTTTATGATCTCTTTGGGACAGGAACTGCTCTTGGCTACTTAATAGTAGAGCACCCTAAAGGACAGACCTGACACTGGATCAGATGAATTAGTCATGTCCAAAAAAGATACAATATGAATTTGATCATGGTCACTGCTATTGACTATACACATACTGCAGGCATCCAGGATAATTTTCTTTACCCTTCTTCCTTGGTAAAGACGTGCAGACAGTTTTGACAACGTACCTAGCTGCAAATTTCTCCTAAACTCACTTGCAAAAAGTTGCTTGGCTGTTTTTACTTGGAGTACTATTGTTCTGTATTTGTATGTGCGTGCAGATATTGTAGTGATATTTGTGTATTTAAAGAAATGTATATGTACTTAAAGATGAATTATACTTATGAAATGGTACTCAAATTATTTGATGGATTTATTTTCTTCCTTGGTATGGAAATGTTATATACCAAGAAAATAACAATTTATGCATTTGTATCTCATTCTGTCATAAAAGTAGGAATGACCAAATAACATTAAATAGAACATATTCTGCATATTTAGCAGAAATGTGATCCTCCTCAGTTTAGAGACAAGGACTTGCAGAGTGCAGATTTCCTAACATCTATGCTTTTATAAAACATTTCAGAGACCTAGTGCTCTGCCTTTCTTTTCTCTATGCCTCACTGTACCAAAATAGTATCATGTCCAATTGCAGTCTTCACATCGCAGTAGCAGTTGTCAATGTTTAATACTGACTGTAGCTTTAATTGATGACGATGCTCAATGTAGAAGTACATTTTAGGGCACTGAAGATGGACCAAGGATTCATATTCTTCAGGGGACTGATTAATTTTAAACTTATTTCTTTCCTTGTGTCTATATTTAGTATAAGAACAAATCATTTTCATATAATTTTCTGTTCTGGTTACAATATTAAGGATGTCAAGGGAATGGATAAATGGATAAATGTTCTGCTATTTTCTCTTTATTATTATAATTTTTCTCACAAGATTGAGAAAAAAGGGAGAATATAATGAGAATAAAAATGCGCAGTATTGAAGCATTAAAATTTGGTGATAATTCATTCCTGAGACAGACTACAGCAAGTACAGAATGCAGGGTAAGATATATTAATTTTTCTGACAAAATGTAGAAGGAGTAGGAAATGGTATAAAAGTAATTTACTCTTATTGCAGTCGTCTCAAGGCGCAGTCTCATGTCCTCTTAGAAATGTCCATTGTGACAACATAGCTGTGGATATTTTATTTGAAAGTATTCATCAGTTCAGATTTATTTCTAAGGTATGGAAGTAATACTGGGGTTTGTGCATAGGTCATTAATTCTACTTTGAGAATAGGAATATCAGTTTTTTTGTCAGACTATTTAAAAGAAAGAGATTTTCAAAGGAAAATATCAATTTCTAGATGTTGACATTGATATAGAAATTTTTTGTGATGTTGTGTAGCAAAACTAAAAACAATCAGGTTTTGACTTTTTCCTTTGTAGATTTAGTTCTGAAATACTGTATTATTTACATCATTGAGAATAGTTACAGCTCAGTTTAGAACTCTGCTTTTCAGTTTAATCCCACTGTAGCTAAGATGTGGAATAATAGAGGACATTTTTTTTCTAGTAATTATTGCATGACATTTGTGGGCTTGAAATATGTAGCTTGAGATTATATGTTCAAACAAAATTCAGCAATAGTAAATATTTAAATAAAATACTCTTAGAGAACAGAGCATTATCTCTTTCCCTAAATTGCTTCAGTTGAATTTAATATACTTCTACTGAGAAATTGTACCAAGAACTTTACTGTTTGGTGATTAACCAATAAATAGCTTACAATATATTTTAGCTTCAGACAATATTTTCCCTGCATTAGAAGTCTCAATCACTCTGCCAGAAAGGTTTAGTCACTAGAAATGCTGTAATTGTCCATGTGGGTGAACAATGGCTATATGCTCAGCCATAGTGTGTGTGATGTTGGTTATTTGAAGGGTTTTTTTTTTATTGTTAACAGGCAAAGACTAACACAGACCCTGCACTAAGAATGAAGGAGTAGCTGAGGTTTCTGTGGGGCAGGGTATTAAGGAGCTGGAACAAAGGTATCTTTAGTGTTCATCAAACTGCCAAAGACTACCTCAGAGTTGCAGAGAAATGGAGATTATATTATCTCCCAAATGGTTGTCATGAGACTAACTTGAAAGAAATCTAAATCTAGTAATCTGTCACCCTGAAGGATCCATGTAGTAAGGTATTTAAAGAAGCTAAGATTAGAGTAGTTTCATTTGCAATTTAAATTTCCTACAGACTATTTTTTGAAAGCACACACAAGGGTCCTAGGTTGTGGATTGTCGTTCAGTGGGGGGTTATATTTGAATTGTATTCAGGTAGTATTTTTCAAACTATCTTTGCCCATGCCTGGCTTTCCCCTGCATTTAGTTTGTAAGGGAAAGTTCAAAGGTGTGTACACAACCACCACCACCACATGCCACGCTCCAGTGTTTGCCGAGGCACCCCTGGCACTGCTCTGGGAAGGCGAGGCTGCCTTTGACACTCTTGGCTGATTTCTGCTGGCAGTGCTCATTCTGAAGTTGGTCTGGAGACAGCAACCAGACTAGAACATGTCTATATATTGCACCTTTGTTAAACAAATGAAGCACAAGTCATGTGAAAGGGCTGGCACTAAGCTAGATTTTCATCAGTTAGTTTCCTAGTCAGAGTCCTGTCCTTAGGCTGCAGGTCTCCCACA